CATTCTGTTGGAGATTTGCTTTCCAGATCAAACGGCTGGTTTGTCGGGCGGTGAAACCTCATACGGCGACGTGGATGGGCCATGCATGTACAGCTAATTTTCTTTATGTGACCACCTATGGCCCATGCAACCGCTTTTCCTGCTGCTTCTAGACTTTGCTGCCGTGTTGTGTTTGTGTTCGTAGTTGGAGCGCTGCGATGGTTCGTGATGTCGCTTAGTCGGTTTGTCCGCCGCTTATCGTTGTTTTTCGACGTTGTTGGGCTTCTATAAATACATAGCTCAGTTCTTGACGGAAGGCCAAGCCGATCGAGGCCGGCAGCGACTTCGAGTGCCTCTTCTCCCCCTACGCTGACGCTGGGCCGCCCTCGCTCCTCTCCGTCGGCCTGCCCGCAGCGGCCACGGAGACCGCGAGCTCGCAACCTTCCAATCTGCGCGCCAGTGCCCTGCGATCCGGTGTCACGTCGTCGCCATCTCGATCAAACATTCGCCCAGGCCGCTGGCGCCTTTTCTTCCATCACCACCGGAGGTCTTTGCCCCGCGTCGTAGAGGTGCTACCTCGCCTAAGCCGTTGTGAGGAGGCGCCCCTGCTCCTCCCCCCTCCGCGTTGTGTCAACCACAGGATGGTGCCCTCCCACCTCAACGAGGTGTGCGCTTTGCTCGGGACTGCGAGTTCATCGTCGACAACCGCGACGGGAACGTGCAGTACAACCGGTACTACGGCTGCGACCCCGCCGACCTCGACTTATACTGGACGCTGTGAACTCTATCGGGGAGCCCTCTGCTACTATCTCCGGGAGGGCGTGCCGGACCTCGATGAGGTATACGGCGTGCTCGACAGGGCCTGGTCCAAGCCGCATGAGGAGACAGCCCTCCGCGGGATCCAATCGTTGCAGCGTCCTCGATCTCAGGTCCGCACACCAATTTGTTTTTGTATTACCCGACCGGCCTGTGAATTTGTGATTGATTACGCCGATGCTGTTCCACCCGGGAACGGGGCTGTGCCTGTGTGTGGTCGTATGCTCAGCAGCGGCGGCACCTAGCGCTGCGGGACAGCCCGCTGATGTGCCTCTGTGCGCAGTGCACCGGCCGGCCGCGCCTCGGCCTACCGTGGGCATGGCGAGTACACAACGGTTGTCTCTTCCTCACTCTCTACGACGTGCGGCCTGCCGTCCGTGCTGTGTTGTTTGCGTGTGCTGCTTGTGCGCTCCTGCTGTGTCGCGCGCGTGTGTGTGCAGTGTGCTGGTTAGTGGTTACTAGCTTCGTCAGTTCGTGTAATCGTGTGTAAGTCAGGTGTGCGTCCGTGTGCTTGCTGCGTTGCCGGCGTCCGTGCTCTGTAGTTGTATGCGCTGTGGACGACGATGTCGCCCCTCTCGCTGCCAACGTACAACCATAGAAGCCTCTCTTGCCGAAAGTAGCACTGGCAGGCTGTACATCTTTGTATTTATTTACTTATACGAGCTCAAAGGTTCTTATATTAACTACAAAATACATGTGCTTATACTTTGTACTACGTACTATATATCTTTCTAAGTATGCCATGACACAAAAACATGGAGAAATTTTTAAAAAAATTCTCTAGAGCTCAGCGTAATGGCTCTCGGAAAGAAACGCATTGGCTCTGGCCATTATAGTACCAGACAACAGAACAAGCTTCTGAAGCTGAACTGATGCATTGTTTAACTCATCCTGAACCTGTGTACTGTTTCTCCGTGATTCAAGTGCAAGCAGCAATGATGGCCGCACCTAGACATGAATCATTTTATCTTATATTGTAGAGATATTACATTTAATTGGATATAGATTAAGTTGTGGATTTATGTGCCCACAATTTACATAATTTCCTGAAGTATTGGAAGGACAGCACTGGTTAGTTGTTGCCTGTCATGCTTTACTAACATATGTGTCACTTGACTACAATTAATAACTGAACCAATTCCAGTCAAAACTATTTATTTACAAGATTTATTTTGTAACTCATTTTTCACCGGTTCTCTATACTTACTAAACAATATGGGTTTACCCCCATTCTCATATTTGTTGTATGTAGGCATCAATACTAAAATATGGTTTTACCCTATTCTCATCTGTATGCAGGCATCAAGTTGTGATGAATTTGGAAGACACACTATTAACTTACATAATAAGATCCTTAAGGGTGAAAAAACGCAAGCAATGGCAAGTTATTAACAACCTATTTTTCTCATGTTGCTTACTGGAGGTGAACAACAAGATGCATTTTAATGGCCCTCTTGACCTGCTGTTTATTTTAGATTTACGTTGGTCCAGATTTTGTTATTTATATGAAAACTGTTAAGTTTGTACTATCATGTTCTAACTGTTAAAATGCTTACCATGTCAACAGGACAATGCAAGGTGTTGTTGTGAGTTGTCGGTTTTAGTATTCATTCTTTTCTGCAGCACACCAACTTTACATGGACATCTTACGTTTTTCTCCCAGTGTTTGATTTTGAAAGCTTACTTTTCTCTCCCAGTTTATATTTTTGAGAGGAAAAAACTTATTTTATGAATCAAAATTTGTATCACTGTACCTTTTCTTCTTTATGTGATGTGTTCCCATCTCACTAGCTATGTTTCTCTATGTTGTATATTAATTTTTCCTTTGAATGTTATGAGACAATGACCAGTCTAAAAGATAAGTGAAATGTGTCTACTTTTGCCTGGCTTCTGGTTGAGAAAATATTTTCCAATTGCTATGTCATGAATGCAAGTTAGTCACCGGTCAGACAAAAAAACTGCAACAGATGGTCGTATCTATTGGTATTTCTTCCTATATATACATAAACATTGGTATTTCCAGTTTTATACACAAACATTATCTTGATGTATAGCTGAAGTCTATATGGTCATAAACGACTGATTCAGGCATAGGTTCATGCACATTATTTGCCCCATGTTTGAACTCTATCATGTTACCTACTAATATGACACTCCCTCGGCTAATGGTGCCTTTATATACTGAAACTAACAGAAGGAAGTTATCATTGTAGCATGCTCTTTGTTTTATAGAACGGCATGGCGAGAATAAATGAGTCACAATGTGTATTTCTCTATGCCTCTTTCCAGTTTATCTTTCTACATACAGGGTTGTCTTACCTTAAACCAGTAACATTTGTTGTAAATGGACACATCGTATCGATAAGCATTAGGCGCGGCGTGCCGCCGCGCGGGCTAAGCTAGTTCTTATATTATGGGACAGAGGAAGTACTTTCATTGATCCTTAGTTGAGCAGTGTTGCCTGCCGGTGGAGAGAAGAGGCCATTGAATTTGAGCAGATGCCATACTAAATTGGTTGGGTATTTCTGCAAACTCTGTTACATTACATCTGACAGTCACCGCTGCTCTGAAATGCAGGGTTGGGACTATACATGTCTTGCCCTGCGCCGTGTCTTCTGTGGTAGAGAGGTTTCTAATTTGGCAAAGTTCGGGTACCGGAATCCTGAAGCGAAACAGCAATGTATATTTATACGACGCTCTGTTAACTCGCTCAGTTAACTCTGGACGACAAGACATCGGCTCCTGTTAATAATCAAAAATTCAGATAGTGTGTGACTGTACCTTTTTTTATATGCAATTGAGGAGGATGGTATTCCATACTGATCAATACCTGCATTTTGTGTAATAATATGGTCTTCAGTGCCTTGGTAACTTTGTTGGCCAGTACTATGTTGTTTTCAAACAGGTATGTGGTACATGTAATGGTTCTACCACATTAAGTTGGAGGGGCTGTCCACACACCTGATTAAATGACAATATTTGTAGACCCTTTGAGGATAAGATTCAATTTTCGGTGTGACTCCTGACCTTAGTTGTGCAATTTAAAATTTTGCTCTGTTTTAGATAGGAAATATGTATGAGTGCTCAGGATGTGCATGTGTTGGATTCAATACATTGCGGCCCCAAATAGTTTCCCCGTCTTCAGTTTAGATGAGCCAAGGTTGCTTTTGGGTCTTAGTAGAAAAAATATTGTTCTGGATTCAGATATTCTCTTTAGATGTGAATTTGGATGGTTACTGCATCATGTGGGTTCAGAAACCATGATAAGAATCGTAATATGTTAATGCTTAAACAAAAGGTGTCTTTAGCATGATGCCCCCCTGTCGCCGTTAGATATACAACAGGAAAGCAACTGTGAGCAAGCATAACCATAAACCAGAAAATTACTATGCTTGAAGAGTTATATTCAGTATAATATTTTGGATGGGTGGTAAGTAAAACTGATGGATGCATTTCTCTGATTTTTTTCACCAAGTTGTGATCTCTCAAGAACATTATAAATTTGTTCTACCAAGACACTATCAAATATTCTGTCAAAAATAATATTATCATATTTGTTTGATATGGTTCAATTAACCAGTATGATGTCGTAATGTATTATAAGACAATATACAGATTATTTGTGAGCACCATATGTAGGTTTATTTGTGTTTTTCTGCACTATTACTTTCCAATTTGTCCTTTCACAACATTTTTTCTTCAAGTTTTCTTACTACAGAATTTTCGAAGGTATTATTATTTGTTTTAACAGTAAGGAAATTACTTGTTGCATGCATATTGCAGAACTTGGATGGGAAATTGAGCTGTTGTAACGTACAAGGTACCTCAGGCAAGCTATCTCATGGCAGTACCCAAGTTCAACAAGGTATCCACAAGAAATTGAACTGTAGGTTTCAATGCAAAGCGAGACATTTAAGGATAATAGGCAGACCACACATAAAAGATCCAGAGTACAGGAGGGGGCAACAATGCAAACATAACACATAAAATGGAGGAGACCCACAGAACAAAATTTTCAGCAGCAGCAGCACATATGCTACTCAACAAACAAATACTAGTTGCTACACCAAAGAGATGTTTTAAGGGCACATACAGAGATGAAATTATGTTTCCACAACAATGAAGTGAAACATACCCAACCACACAATAGGAAAGGAGAATTCAGCAAGGTAAACCAAGAAGAAAGGCAACACAAGTCACCAAATTCAGTCAAATGAGAGGAACTTCTGAACCACATGGTTCATGCTCGGTCTCTGGCTCTTCTCCTTCTCCAAGCACATAGCAGCCACCTCCAGCATCAACAGCACCTCCGAATACACGAAGTCACCCTCCAACCTAGGATCCACAAAGCCATCGATCCATGTCAGGTCGTCACTTTCCATCTTCTCTTCAATTGTCCATTCTAGCTGCTGCAGTGCAGCCTCGGCATCCTCGCGGCCATCGGTAGCCCGCTCGGATACTCGAGACCCCATGACCAGCTCCAGCAGCACCACCCCGAAGCTATAAACATCCACTTTTTCAGTTAAGGGGGCGGTGGACACCCATTCTGGAGCCATGTAGCCTCTAGTTCCACGAACCTTGGACATGCTACCGGGATCAGCCTGGCCTCTCTGCAGCAGCTTTGCGAACCCGAAGTCGCTGATCTTGGGATCGAAATCCATGTCTAGAAGTATGTTCTCAGGCTTCACATCGCAGTGAATGATCCAATCCATGCACTCATGGTGAAGGTATGCGAGGCCTTTGGCCACACCAGCCGCGACCTTGTACCGCTGATGCCATTGCAGTGGCCCTTTGTCACCAAACAAGAACATGGCCAGCGAGCCATTCTCTACATACTCGTAGACCAGCAGTCGGTGATTGCGCTCTGAACATACGCCCATCACCCTCACCAGGTTCATATGGTAGATCTTACCGATCACGCTCACCTCGGCCTCAAACTCGTCTTCACCTTGCTTCACGTCGTTGAGCTTCTTGACTGCGACTACACGGCTGTCGTGCAGAATCCCCTTGTACACAGAGCCATGTCGCCCATGGCCAAGCTCCTCCTTGAAATTCTTAGTGGCCCTCCGCAGTTCCTTGTGGGTAAAACTACGGAAATGGTCCGTCACCACCCTGTAGCCTTCCTCTGCTGCCCAGATCTCTGATCGTGCCGAGTGTTGTCTTGACATGAACCACCAGCCAGAACCAATGAAGCAGACCTCCACAAGAAAGAACGCAGCGAGGAACCAATAGTAGTAGTGCCACATTGCACCCTGTCCGTCATTGGTGTGCGTGGTATAACTCACGGTCTGCTTGTTTGATGCATCACAGGCATGGCCATGATGAAGAACAGAGTCAGACGTGTGCGGCTGCGACAGAAAGCTCTCGGGAACCTTGAGATATGCCGTGCCGGGGTATCCTGGAAGCGTCTTGCCATTGAAGAGAGCAGACTTGAGGAAGCAGGCGTTTGGAAAAGTTTTGTACTCAAATGCCACACATGCGCAACTCCCCAAGCACATCTCCTTGCAAGTGTGCATGGACGTCGACATGGTGTAGTTCAGATCGGAGCCCCAAAAGTCGGTCTCAGGAATGCGCACGAAGCCCGTACGCTGGCCGCAGGTGAGGTTGAACACCGGCTTGCAGCCCTTGCTCCAGTCACTTGGATCACTGACCACATAGCCAGGAGGACAAGAGCAGCGTGGTGTTGGTGAGTACTCACATATTCCATTCCAACCACATAGGCCATGTATGTCACAGGGCTGGGAGAAAGCCACCCAAGAAACGTACCAGCTCCGATGAAATTCATCGAGGCTGTAAAGCCTGAGATTACCATCGTAGTCTAGTGTTAGCCTCCTCTTGATCTCCAAGCCCCAATCAGAGGCACGAAAGGTGGTATTGTCAGTAGCCACAAACTGACCCAGCTTATCAAGCACAGCTCTCCTACTACTGTTATAGGAGATTCTATAGTTCATCCAGCTACTGTAGTCAGGGTTAGGCCAGTAGTGGTTAGAAAGATCCGGCCCCTCATATGCGAGCGACAAGACATATCGGTCGTCGAAACTCAATGTATAGTAACTTGAGGGATGTGAGAGATCTTTTGATACCAACTTTGCAGTGGCCGTCACTGGCTGGCCTGGTAGCAGAGTGTCGGTCGGATGGTCGAAGCTTTGCCACAGTATGTTGCCACCTTGATCCTTCATCACGAGGTTCCCGGAGTCCATGAGCTCCGCGTGATCGGCCTCCGCGGTCAGCGAGTTGGTTCGCCACACGACCGTGCCATCGTAGTCCGTGAGGACCATGCTTCTTCCATCAGTGTTCAGCTTGACCTTGGACCCGATCCCGTGTACGGGGCGATCCCGGTTCGCGCTCCAGGCGATGGTCCTGTCAGCCGAATTGGTGAACCAGATCGACAGGGTGAAGGCTGTGGATGAAAGGTTGTAGAACCCAAAGGAGAAGGTGCCGTCAGGCGACTCTATGACATGGGAGGCATGCTTCACGGCTAGTGAAGATCCTTTGTGCAGGTAGTTAGCACGGCCAACTTCTGCTATAGTGGGAGCTACAAAGGAAGAGATCAAAAGGAATGTGATGTTCAAGATCCAAAATGAAGCTGCCATAATGGCATGAAAGGAAGCTGCTGCTGCTGCCTGATGATGAGAGAGGAGATAAATCACTTTCATGTATGGTATTTTCGTAGTTTTGTATGATCAAGTTGCATTCAAAGTGTTAAACAACACAGTCAGCACATGCGAGTGATTAAGAAGAGTAATTAATAATCATGACCTAATCTGTTGGACCGATTTGCGACATGATCATTTGGACGATTGTCCCATTTAATATTTCTGCCCTCCACAACCTCTGTGTTATTGATTTCACACATCTCCATCATAGCTAATTTTTTCACTCGACCAATCCGGCAGCCCCCTAATAAGCGGGGACTTCTTAAGTTCAGGACGGTCAGGTCTTTATCTTGGTTCTACTTAAATAAATTATTACATTGCTGTAGATCTAAAGGCATGGTTGGCTGATAGTATTGGAAAAGTACACGTGATTTTATATGGGGAACGGTAATATATGGAGCGAGATTAACAATGGATTTTTTGCGCTATCAACAAGTCACAATCTGTTTTAGTTTCTTCCATCCATTTTCGTTACTTGACTATTATGATGGTAGTCTTTGTGTGAATGTGTGACCGACGGATTTTGCATTCAATGATAGTCCTGTAATAATACATCAAAGAAGTTTAGGGGAAGATGGCTCACCTGTATGTTCATTGATAGAAGTGATAAAAGTTTTATATACCCCGCTGATGCTGAGGTTGGTGGCGACCTCTTGCCATGGTAGTATGATATTCCCTCTATTTATTTTGGCAATCAACTATAACTATTTCAACCTCACTTATTTTTAGTATATCTTTTTTTGTCGAACTCCCCCTATCCTGGACTCAAACGTTTGTTACTCTTGGTGTAGGTTCAAATCAATGGGTTACACATTTGAGGCGACACCAGGGAATGCAGTTGGTTGCAGAGATGCACTGCCTTGTCACAGTTTGAAATAATTGGATGCTCCTATGGGCAAATTACTAAAATGTTGCTATGGGTTAAGCATTGATGAGAAAACTCCACCGAAGACGATGTCCTAAAAAAGCATTGCTCCTCTGTATATTGTGCATATGCAGCTCAAGCATATTGTAGACATGACCCTGGTTCTGTTGCTTCTCATTGTCTTACTTATTTTGTTCCATATTATACATTTAACTTCATTCTTGAACACATTCTCTGAATAGATAAACTACCAAATTCAGGGTACAGATAGCATTTTGGAAGAAGCATATCCTGATGGTATTCCAAACTGCTAACGTTGAATCAAATAGGTAGGGGTTTGTTGTTGTTTTATGAAAAATTGGCATGCCATTATTCTAGGAAGCTTTGAGTAGTTTGCACTACCTTTACTATCTACTTTCTTGTTAAAAGCTTTATATATTTTCAAAATGCCAAAAAAGTCACGGAAGATAACTGGAGACTAGCAACTGAAGATGTATGTAATGTAAGCACCCGGGTTAAACCCATTATGCCTGAATGAGGAGATTTGGAATGAGGCATGTTCCTTCTTGTGGAGAAGCTACTGGACTGGTGTATGCATCTATTATTGTATTTACTTTTTGTTTGGCAGCTTCAACTTATAAATGTGTTATGTTTCTGGTCGACTTTAAGAAAAATATCCTTTGCGGGCATTCCAGGTTTGGATAATTTTGATGTTTCATTTTTATTTCCTACATATTCATTCACCTTGCAATGCTGCAAACAAAAGAACTATTAGGCAAGATGTTGCATTCACGTGCGTTATTACTACTATCATAGATATTTACTTTTACTGTGATGAAATAATAGTAAGTCTATGACATACTCCCTCCGGTCCTTTTTACTTTGCATATGAGGATTGTCTGAAGTCAAACTTCGTAAAGTTTGACCATATTTATATGAAAAAATATTAACATCTATAATGCTAAATTTATACAATATGAAAAGTAAAGTCATGACGCATCTAATGTTGTTGATTTCACATTTTAAATGTTTGTATTTTTTTCTATAAACTTGGTCAAAGTTTACGAGGTTTGACTTCAAACAAATCTTATATGCGAACTAAAAAGGACCGGAGGGAGTACTATGTTAATAGTTCAATTCCATGTGGGCGAAAAAAACTTGCAACTGCAGCAGCACAGACACCAAAGTATGGTTCAACATATTTATTTTCCTAAATATTGAGTTGACGTCACATGCTCTGTCTAGTGGATTTACAATATTTACCATATTATGCTTTTGTTGAGTCAGCCAGGTGTGTTGCTAAAAAAGAAGGGAAAGGCGGGGCGACAATAGAGAATAGGGTGGACAACCTGCAAGGAACCCTATGACGGCGTGAAGCAACATGGCGATGGGAGGAGGGGCCAAGGGAGGTGGATAAGAGGGTTGGGCGACCGGGGCACAATGCTGGAGAGGTACCGACCACATGCAGTCCTCAACAGATTCAGATGTGGACTTGAATTAGGTTTATGCACAGTAGTGATTCGAAAGTCATATCCGAAGGCATGGAATGTGTGCAAATGTGGTTGGATGGTTAGGAGGTATCTTTTGCCCATTAGAGTTGAAGTCCCATATTTGACATTGATACTTGCATTTTTCTAAATTTATTTCAGGCCTTCTGATGATGTGCGCTCAGTGGGAGGAGACGCGTCAACTATGAAGGTGTATGGCCACTTCGTCAATCTCAAGATAATGTGTCAACTCAGTCTCTCAAGGGTACTCATAGGGATAGAGTGTGTGTGCGCGTTCATAAAGATGAGTGTATGTGAGCAACTTCGATTGTACTTTGTTAAGAAAAAAGGCATGTGATATGTTTTTCTGACTTTGATTGTGCGCCGTTGTTACTTTATTGGGTATATGCCATAATAATTTGAATGCACAAAATTTATTTCTGTTAGTCGAGACATGCTTGCGTATTCAAATTCCAAATTCTAACAAGATTGTACATGTATGCTTGCTAGTGCAAGTAATTCTTGTGCTTTTTTTCCTGTTTTCCTACCTTAGAAAGTAATCAGCTCCTTTCGACGGATGGAATGTGGATGTTGCCATGGTTATCCATAGGGCAAAGGTAACATTTCTTGTAATTTCATTTTCTGCTTCTGTTTCACATTATTTTGTACTCCATTCCAAAATATAAGATGTTTTGGTAGGCTATCTACCAAAACGTCTTATATTTTAGAACGGAGGTAGTATAAATTATTTAATGAATAAAATTTATAATAGTACACTATCCTGCTATTTTAGGTAAAGAAAATCCATGCTCCAAATGCAGAGAGTTGATGCTAAACAAACAGACACAAGTGCAGTAAAGAAAATTCTCAATTACCAACCACAAAATTGTACACCCAGGTAAGTAAAAACGACGCAAACCTGCAAGAGCCTCTCTTACTTTCAAGGAATAGATTAAAGCTAGACATCTAGTACAACTACTCAGACGTTAGGATACCACCACTAATCGATTACAAGAATCAGATAACCAAACTCCAGTTCTGAACCTACCAAGAAATCACTACAAAAATAGTACAGGGCAATCGAGCGAGAAGAACGCAACAGTTCATGGTGAACAAGGGACCGGATCGGCGTCCGTGTGCTGAATGGACGCGTTGTCTTCTTTCGCTGTTGCAGCTTCATTCGGGGAAGCTGGTGTTTTCGGCGGTGCCGCCACAGCAGCAGCTTTCTTACCAGCAGACCGGGAACTCTTGCTCTCGTTCTGCTGAGTGCTCATCGAGAGCCTTCTACCAGGGGACCCGTTGGTCGTGCTGCCATTGGGCTTTGGGCTAGGTACCTTCTTTGTGCTGGCCACTCTATAGGGACTGACACGTGTCCCAAACGGCCCTTCACGGTCGATGTTCAGTAACTGCTCGGTGTAGCGCTTTTGTTCCTGGAATGTGAAAGGAACAGAACTATGACAGCTGATTGCAGTTTCAACATTTGATCAAAAGCATGGATAAGTATCACTTCAACATCCTTGTTGGTTTATATGTGAACATTACATATCTTCAACCAAACACAAAGTAACTCAGAACTGTGGCAAACTGGCAACTGAGAGAGAATTTTTAGTATGCAGAAGAGGTAGAGACAGAAACTACGCATATTGGCCAGTGTGGCAGATTGAGATCTGGAAAACCCAAGGAAGCAACATATTGTAACTACATCGCAGTTAACAGAAAGCAAGAACGTTATATAACTAGAATGACACAGGTACATTCAGGTTCAATATCTAGTTTCTACTTGGCACTTAAATTCTTCCAAGAGTGCAATAAAGGAAGTAACACTAACCCGCATTTTTCTCTTCTCTTCTTCCTTCTCTTGCCTAAGCATCACATACTCATCCAACATAGCTAGAAGAGGAACACCATCATATGTGAAGGATAGACCGTGATTCTCTTCCCAAGCCGTTGTCTTGGCCACCAGAGTTTCAACAAGGCCTAGAAGAATGCTTACATCAGCAAACAGACAGGAAAATAAAATAAATTGAGAAGAAAAGCATTTGCCTATTCTGCATTTCCCCTCAAAGAATCTCTTCTACACTTGGATTGTAGTAAATGCATCAAAAGAAGGCATAAGTTTATTCAGTGTCACAGCAAAGATTATTTGCTTATGCGCCAACAAAAGCACCTGGAATTTTGTTAACTTGAATACGAGCCTTTTCAGCGCGTTTGAGATTCAGGTGGGCACCTCGGCCTGAATTATATCTGTTATCATCCTGCAAAAGAAATTTGCTATAAGAAAAAAAGTTCCAGAAAGGAATAATTTAGTCGCACCAGTTCACAGAGAATACAAGCATGATAACATGATTTACTAGAACTAGAGACTAGCATACTCGGTTATAATCTTCAAGCCAGCTTTCTTCCTCGCATGCAGATATCCATCTCTCAACTTTATCTAAAATTTCTTTCCTGCTTAGAGCTTCTTCCTTTGCTTTCAATATCTGACTATCCATATCAGCAATCAATTCTGTAGGTTCCATGCTCCCTGATTCGATCAGCGCAAATATTTTATCATGGGCAGCTGCTGTGTCTATTACGATGTGAGCACCCGCATAAATGTCTTCCAGTGTGGTTTGCTTCTTAAAAGCTATTTCTTTCATCTTGCTGTA